TAACATTGTCCAAGTTAAACCTAGTGCTCAGATGTTTGAAGATGGTCTAATAAAGGAATAGTGATGGTTAGTTTATAATGTTCTTTGAATGATTGACTGGGGGGATTAGACCGCATATTCTGTCTTCTAGCAATTCGCTTTTTTTTTCTTGAACGTTGACCTCTTCAGCAAGTTTTAAAGCCTCGTCATACCAAGTGTTATGATAAAAATTAATCCTTTTCCTCATGTTGGCTACATCATTCTCCTAAGTGGTTATCAAATGAAAACCATCCATAACATCAATAGTTTTTCCCTGCAACAATTGCGTGACTGGAAGAGTAGCATCAAGAATATTTCTTGTAATAACTAGCTTAACAATAAAATGAAATTGAGTAACTAATGAAACTGGGAAGCATGAGCAGCAAGGGAAGGCCTCACCTCACCACTTACATTGTTTATCATGTCATGAAGAGTGTCGATTAAAGGGATAAACAACTGATGAAATGTGTCATGACTGTCAACTCGCTCAACCCATCCGGTTTTACAAAGACTTACCAGTTTTGCCTTCTCGGTCTGAACATCTGACTTTTTAACATGCTCAGCAAAGGGTATGTTGCATGTCTGTGATATGTTGATAAAATTGGCAGCTTGAGAAACAACAGATAACATGTTATTAATTTCAACGTTAGAAAGAGTGTCACAGACAGACAAATTTAGTCGATGACTGTAACAGTGAGTGTAAAGAGCTTTAGGATTAGTTCTTAAAATGTGTGCAAATGTCTCTAAACCATTTATATGCCCAAAAACAGCCCCTGCACCATCATAACCTTGTCCCCTGCAATCCATAATGGGTAAAGCAAATTTCTCTAGAGTTTCTAAAATAAGCTTCGAAAGTTGTTGACCACTCAACCCCCATTTGCAATGTAGGAAACACATGAACTCTTCTTTAACATTCATTGAAGAGTCAACAAACCATAGAACAAGGGACAATTGCTCTTTGTGAGAAGAATCAGCAGCTTTATCTACAATGATCGAATAATATCTATTTTTTTTATCTCGTTTATAATATCTTCTGATATTAACTGACCAATACAATTGATGATTTTGTTTTGGTTGGTCTTGGAAATATAACTTTTATTCTTGCCACATTTGAGCAAATGATTTTCCAAAGTTTGATCACCAGCTCTAACTCTAAAATTTAAAGATTCAACAAAATTACCAACATTACTGATTGGTAATTTTGACTGATTAGCAACCAACCTCTGGGTGAAATTGAGCATCATCACGATGACCTCGTAATCCAATGCCAAGCCACAGAATATATACTATACAGAAGGGCCACTCTTGAGTTAAATTGTCGCTAATTTTTTATGAGCATGCTCCAATTCCGCCATCTTCTTGGCCAGTCAATAGCTGGCAGATGTATATAAAACTATATGGTAAGATGCGAAGTGAAGACTGGAAAACGTCGATTTTTTTCAATTGAGGCTGTTCAATCTGATTCGTAATTTATAAAATAGCAAAAGCAAGGTATGTTTTAACTTTTCTGAAAGTTTTAAGGAATCTCAGTCGTACTTTATGCCGACTCATCTTCATCGCATGTTCGATTTGGTCAAACAATCACACTATGAATCTTTATGACACCATACGACTGAACTTTGATGATTGAACTACAGAACATTTATTTGGTGTTTCAGGATATTTTTCTGTGTTATTTGAGAAGAAAACATCCTGGAATATCTGCCAATTTAAAGCTGCACTGTTTATACGATACCATTAAGACAAATATATTACTATAAATTCTATATAGTTATAGTTTTATTGAACATGTAATTAACATGTATCTGAGAAATAGGGAATTGCATAAGAGCATACACACTGGCTGAACTGAAGTTTTGTACTGTTGTTTAAATTTTGGTCAATTACAAAGACAGACATGAGCTAATTAAATGATAAGATAATTTATTACTTACCTTTGGTATACAAATAAATCTTAGTTAGACTAAAAAACAACTTTGACCATGATGAATGGCATCTATGCTGTGTGTTGTAGCAATAGTTGGTAGTTGAGTAAAGGGTTCTTGCAGTAAATCTCATAGACTAAATTTCCACTATTTATTTTATTTTAATAGAATCCTTCTGCTGTAGTTTTTTACTAGAAATAAATATAAACTGTATGGCGGAACTGTCCTGAGAATTAAAAGCAATTATCTTTAATTTTGTGAGTTGTCTTGAAAACCTATGCTGATATTTTATTTTCCTTGTAAACTCAAACAATACTCAACATTGCTCAATTGATGATTGTATATGCTTTATCTGTAATAGTAGTTTGTTCCTACAGATTCAATAAAACACAAAAAATGATTAAATATGATAATTCAAAGTGGAAGTGGTATATGGAAAACACAATTTACAAGTACTTCTTGCAAACTTTACATAACATCAGCTGTGGATTCAAACATTAATTAATGTCAAATACTGGAACGAAATATAAAGGAAAAGGAGGAGGACGAACATTTTGTTCTGCTGTTAACTGTTCAAACAGCAAGCATTCACATCCACATCTAAGTTTTTTTAGATTTCCAAGAGATCCCAAAAGGTGAAGTTTCAATCACAAATCAAATTTTGCTGTTAGAAATAAAAAAAAACAACCTTTTCATACCCTAGTCATTTGTCTTTCCAGATCAAAGGAATGGGTGATTCTCAGCAGAAGAGAGGATCTTATGAACAAGGATGCAAACTACCTTTACAAAAATTGTCGATTATGCACTGATCATTTTGAAGATATGATGTTTGCAAATGATTTGAAAAATCGATTAAAGACTTATGCAAAACCCACTCTATTTAGCATTCCAAATGCACCCCCCACTGTTGGCACAAAACGGAGAACAATTAAAAGAGTGGACCAATCATATATACAAGGTAAACCACAAACCTAGTTTCAAGATGAAATTAGACAAATTTTAACAAATTTATTTTACAGCCAAAAAATCTAAAATGGATAAAGATCAGGAAAAAAGGAAGGATGGTATGAGAAGTTCTATTGTATGATTTCATTGTTGAGTCCAAAAATACATGGGAAACTATTTCAGTTCTAATTCTTGACCATTAGTATTGGTGGAATGTAATTATAGCTAAAGTTATAATGCCATTTTGCATTTTATTTTCCATCTCAAGCTTTTGGTCACCACTTTGAATTAGTTATTACTCTTAAGTTTATGTTTAGAGCCACCAGATACACATTCACCATTGCACAAAGTTGATGAAAGTGGGCCTAGTACAGAAAGCCAAACTTCAGATTTTTCTTGCCAAACAAGTGCTATACTATCCAATAATACACCTAGAAAACAAAAACAACAAAAGTTAATAAAAGCCCAAGGAAGGAAAATAAGTCGTTTTATGCATGCAAAGAAAAATCCATCAACACATAAAAATTTGGAAAAGCATTGGAAAAGCTGCCTAAAAACCTTGCTCATTTTGTGCAAATGCAAATTAAGCTTTGTGAAAGAAAAAAGAAAGGGAGACGATACTCACCACAGATGAAGTCCATTGCTGTGTCCTTGTATCCTGCTAGTGGAAGAGCCTATCGTATGCTCTCGAAATTATTCATTCTTCCTTCCAAAACATCATTGCGCAGATACATCTCTAAGATGCCAGCTGCAACTGGAATATCTCAGGGAGCACTAAATATCATAAAGAAAAAAGTGGACCATATAAGGGAAAATGAGAAATTAAGTAATTTGTGTATGGACAAGATATCTCTCAAAACCAACTTATTCTGATATAGCCAATGACAAAATAATTGGCCTTGAAGATTATGGAAGTGGCACAAGAACAAATAAACTGGCAAATTCAGCACTTGTCCTCTTGCTCAGAAGCATTTTGGAAAAATGGAAGCAACCACTTGGTTATGTATTGGTAAATGGAGGATGTCCTACAAAAGAAATGGAAGAGCTGATGAAGGATGCAATTGACAAAGTTGAAGGAATTGGGTTGAATGTTGTTGTAGTAATGTGTGATTTGGGGATTAATTTTCAAAGTTTGGCTAAGCACCTGAACATCAGTGCAGAGAGTCCTTGGTTTATGCACAATCAAAGAAAGATTTATTTTATGTTTGATCCACCACATCTGATCAAATGTGTTGGAAATAATTTGATGAAATACACTTTCAAGCTCAACCAGTTCACAGCCAAGTGGCAGGATATTGTGGATTTCTACAATAAAGATAAAAAGTTGTCAATAAGAGCAGCAACTAAACTGACTGATAAGCACATTGCCCCAAACAACTTTGCAAAGATGAAGGTGAAATATACTACCCAAGTCTTAAGCCACACAGTAGCAGCATCCATATGCACATATGTAAGTGTTGGATGTCTGGCGTCATCAGCTATGGGCACTGCAGAATGGCTTTTGTAGTTTGATTCTCTGTTTGATTCTGTGAACGTTTCAACAGGACATTCACAAAAGTCTTTAAAATGTGCATTGACCAATACCTCTCCACACCTCAACTTTTATGAGCAAGCTATTCACTTCCTATCTAATCTCAAGATTTTTCATGGCAGCCAAGATGTAACAGGCAGAGTAAAGTGCATCACTGGATGGCTAATTACCATAAATGCGATTTGTCAGATTTGGGATAACCTTCACCAAAATTATGGGCTTAAGTTTCTTCTAACAAGAAGATTAAATACTGACCCAATAGAGAACTTTTTTGGAGCAATTTGTCAGCAGGGTGGCAACAGCGACAATCCGACCTCCATCCAGTTCACCCGTGCTTTCAGGAAGCCTTTTTTTAGTTCATTCTTAAATTCATCACAAGGCAACTGTGATGATGACTTTGATGACTTACTGGCACAAATCTGCAAAGCTGACTTAAGCATTCCTGTTTTGATTTCTCCATCTAAAAACACAAAAACTGACGATGTTGAGATAAGGGATTAAAAGGAAAAGGAGGTTGGTGACAATTTAATGAAAGAGAATTCAATTGCTTACGTAGCTGGATACTTACTCTAGAAATATTTTGAAAAGCACGAGTCTTCCATATGTGAGTCAGTTATGGTCACAGACCAACTTGATGATAGCAGAAATCTGCTTTGCTACTTCAAGGCATATGAGTCAGACAAGAGCTTTGGCGGTCTCCTTGCACCAAAAGTATCATTTTATGAATATATCACCAAAATTGAAGACATATTTGACAAAGAATTCTCCACTTGTACAAAAAGTGTAGGTATTTTGAAAAAGATTCTTCAGCAGCTACAAAAAGCTCCAATTCCATTTGAACAGTGCTCGCATTTTTCAATTGATTATCTCCTCAAACTCTTTCTAAGAATAAGGATTTACTATGCCATCAAGTTTGCAAATCGTAATCTATCAGCCGCCAAGTTCAAAAAAATAAAAAGTACGTAAAAGTGACTCACCTTTAGAAGGAAAATAAATGAACCCGCATACACCTCGGATGAATCAAATGAAAGTGACTGTCAAGATTCGATGCTTTTTCAATACATTATGATGCAGGTCGTCTGAACTTCTAAACTGCATCAAAGTGCCAAACCACTGTAAGTAAAAAATTCCAAGAGATTTCAAACTTAATGTCATTAACGAGGCAAAATAAGAAAAATTCTATTGACTGCAGTTTACAAAGCTGAGAAGTGGTCACAGTCACAGAACGAAATGTAAGATTTCGAGCTTTACAACACGTTTAATTATGTTGTAAAAAAAGAAAGAGATAGAATATACCTCAAATTTTGTCAAACTCTCGCTAGGAACAAATCTACGACCTTATTGAAGAGATACAGGCAAATATTTGTACTTCTCTTTACAATCCTTATATTGTTTGTCAGAAATTGACTGGCTAGGAAGATGGCGGCCAAGATGCGCGAAACAGCATGCACGGCCCCAAAAACATCAAAGGTTCTGACAAGAGTGGCCCTTCTGTATAGTATATATTCTGTGGCCAAGCCTTCCACAAAAAGAACTGTATCAAATATTTGTTTAAGAATTTTCCTATTTTGCTCAATTTCAAGTTTTATGTTGGTATCTGAGATATTTTCAATGGGTTGAGCTACACCTGACATTTGAGATCGTATATTATCCACAATTGGAGAAGTAGATGCATGTAGTCCCATTCCCCCCTCCCTTACAATTTCAAGCATGTCGCCTAAATGTACCTACAGCATCATTCCAATGACGAAAAGGTGAACAAAATAGCTTGCTTATTCTCGAGCATTTACTGGGGAACTGATGTCCAAAAAGAACACGTGATAAGCAATAAGCACCATCTTCTTTTGGTGAATAGCACAGCCAGGTAAAATCTTTGAGCCATTCATATTTAAAAGATCTTTTATTGTTCTCACTCAAAGGAGGAAAAGTGTAATTTTCATCTGGTTTAAAAACATTTTTAATAAGCAAACAAATATCAGACATTTTCAAAGCTTTAGCTCTTTCGTAGTAGGTAGCTACATCAAAATTGTGACTTAAGTTAGGCTTTACCTGAAAATCTTCAATGGTTTGTTCAGAAACTCTAGTACAACAAACCTCACTTGTAATGATTTCTGGTTTTTCCATTTTTGAAAAAACTCACTGATATTCCTAGACTTTTTTTCCGCTTTTGCTTTTTTTGAAGGCACTGGGCATGTTGGACCAGAAATTGCCCTTTTAGTTTTGCTAGGAAAAAAACTAGAGGAACAAAATGATTAGGTTGGAAACATTGATCTGGTTTAACTACCCCTTTATAACAAAACAAATGATGAATTGCATAGGCTGATTCTTTAACTGTTCTTCTTGTACAAACGAGAGAGTTGAATATTGATTTAGGCCTGCTCTCTCCACAATCTAGGTAATAAGTAAAATTTTTTGTTTCCAACACAGAAGAAAGAGCTAAAATGCATAGAAACGGTGACCACTTTTGGTTATGACAATTTAAAAAGGCTTCCTTTTTGACAAGATCGACACCTACAAAACCAGAATCTAGACAGTCTGGAGATACTTTCATAGGTAAAATATTCTTTGAGGTGTTGTTGAATTCTTTATGCTGTTGAACAATTGAGGAAAATAAAGAATTTTGGCAGTAAAAAGTAGAATTCAAAAACAGCTCAAGTGATGTTAACTGCCTCAAAATATGCAATGCCAAAAGCAATGCCACTGAACTGTAGAGACATTTGCCAGATACTTCTGATCTAAATTGAATAAAAAAGTCGTGTTCCTATAAGTCCTCCAAAAATTTAACTAACTGGCCAGGAAATATCTAACATAGCTACTTAGTTACATGTAGAAGATAATTCAAAGTTCAAATATAAATTCACTATTCACTGAATAGTGCCAATATTTATAATAAAATTATAAATAGTCCAAGCGTAAATCTTTAGTACACACTGCACAAATTGAAATCTGCTTCATTAAAATATATACAACAGTCAATAGACATAAACCACATCTTATAGTCGCATAAATTGATATTAATGGTTTGGATAACTTAAGTCCATGTATACATTTCCTTTGTCCTTGTGTTGCTTACCCACGATTTTAGGGATGTAAATTTCTGCTGAGAACTCTCTGCTCAATGATGTTTCACCTTTCAAAAGCAATGATAAGAATTCCTCTCTCGACATTTTAGTTGCCCCACAATATTCCTCATTCAAACGCAATTTCAATTCATTCAGACATTTATCATTCTCTTGCGAAATTGCAGTCTGAACAGCAGCATACATATCAATATTTAACATTGTAGTTTGTAAACGATTTTCCAAATAAATGCCGTGAAACCAATTTTATAAACCCACGCTAAAGTGAATCACAATGTGATGATTTATCTTGCATTCCAGACACCAGGCTTGACTATGTTAGCTCAGAAGGCTATCAGTCGATATCGGTCAAACCAATCACAATAAAACAAAAATTCAAATAAACCAATTGTAAGATAGCAATTGGAGTCCCTTTTTGGTCCGGCCACCCCTCTTATCGGTCGACACCATTCCAGACTGTCCACTAATCTGGCCATTGACCAATAAAATAAACGTTTTTGGCGTTCATAGACTCCTTTATCAGTCGAACCAGTCAAGCCACCACGCTTATCAGTTGGTTATTCCACGTCAATTAAAATTCAACTGATCTGGTTACAAACGAGATATTCATTGGATTAGTCATTAGTTTTCAATAATAAATAAAGCTGGATTTTTATCACGAAGTAAATACGATATTAAAGTAAGAATAATGGTTTTAATTAATATGAATAGGTAATTTTTGGATTTAAAACATCAGTCGCGTGACGAAATTGACATACTCTAGATCCGCCCCTGGGTGTGTCATGGGGTCCTGCAATAAGAAAATGCCTCAGGCACCGTAAGGTGTAAACCCTCCTATGCTGATCCCTCTATAAGAGTAAAGTAAACAGATGTTCAAATCATTGCTCCTTGGTATAAATGGAATCATAAATATAAGAAGAATAAAATAATTCATTAGTTTTTCCCCTTGAGAAAGCTTTAATGGGCCTTCCAACAATAATTATTTGTAGCCATATGAAATCTGTCTGTGATTTTAAGCCTCTTTGAGAAAAAATTTTGAATTTAGCCAAATCGTTTGATTTTTGTAAAGCATTAAATTCTCTAAAATCGTATATTCTTGTGAACCATGTCCGTGATAATGAGGGGTCTGAAACTAGTTAATTTTTTGAAGTCATCCAAGGTACTCACGTTACACAAGTTAAGTATTCAATTGCTACCAAGTCACTGCTGCAGAAGCACATCTAAAGTCTATAAGCGTCTAAAAGCATTGTCTTTGCACTAGTAAGAGCAGAAAAATGGTAAGTAATTGTGTTGCAGCCAATTGCATGAATAAATCAAGCCTTAGCTCTAGTATGAGTGTTCACAATATACCTTATAATGATAAAAGGCCTAAGGCTAAGCAAAGACAGAATATCGCGGCTTATGTAATTAAAGCAAAGTGCATATTTGAGCTTCCAGTGCTTTAAAACTTTGTTCAGCTCACTTTGTTCAGACCGGACAGTTTGTAGTGTCAATTTAGCAGTTTACTGAGTCAAAAGAATGCTAATTTTCCCAAGGCTTAAAAAAGGTAAGATTGGAATTTGTGTCTTTCTGAACATCCATGCTTTGGAGTCAATATCCGAATCATTATTGCTCAAGTTTTCATTGCCTTACGAGTTTTCTACCACATATCCCATTATAAAATTTTTGTCAGAATTAACTGACTGAACACTGAATTCTGATTTCGATTAATTGCTTTCTTGGCAAAGCATAATTCCCTTAATTGCATTCTTCCGATTCATTTATCAAATCTCCCAAATAGTCTCCCAAAGGAGCAGCAAAAACTACGCTGTCTGTGTCAGCATATAAAATATTCTTATGCAACAGATCTAACAAGTTGTATAATTCTAAACGTGCCCATGTAATAGTAAAAATACTAATAAAAATATTTGTTGTTTTATTTTCCTTTTGAAACTCACAATCAAGCTTGTAAACAACTTCAACTAAATCGTCATTCAGTCAATGCATATCGTGAATTTTGGTGTGTGCACTATTTAGTGGTTTTGTAGAATTCAAATGGGTCGTAGATAAACTCCATGATTAACATACCTTTACCTTGAGCAAATTTACCCCACAGTGATGTTAAACAAGGCTTTGCTAGTGCTTTTACCCTGGATTTTTTAAAAAATTTTCCTATGCAATAGAATTCCCTCATGTTTTATTGGTAGTCATTGATATATTTTTCTTGGTCTGATTTGGATGAAACCGATGTTGGCCAAACGCTAGGCTGCTGTTTAATTGCAAAAATAAATCAATATTTGCTAAATAAGCTGCCAGAGCTTTCTTCAAAATGCCAGATTTCATGTAACTCTAAAACTTTGCAGAAAATGCTGTGTTTGAGGTGTCTGTCTCAGTCTCTTGAAATCATGCTCCCATATCGTTTTCATATTATACCCTAACTCTAATGATCTTTTCTCACACTCAATGGTGTGACTGTACATGTCTGTTAGCTTTGTCCAAGGCTTCCACACTTAAATTACCAAATTTCCTGTTTGGACTCTAAAAAATCCGTCTTTCTTAGCAAATCTCCTTACCAAACTTTCTTAATATCCTTGCAAAATTCCATGCAAATATCCTTAAACTCAGCTAATTTTGGTTGTCAAATGTGCAATTGGAGTACAAAAAGTAACTATTACATTGCAATAATTGCACAATCATAGGAGTTTTAGTACCCCTTCGTTTATAATAAAAAAATTTACTAAAGTACCAAATCAAATTAACATATGAACATAATTTGCAATACTGATTTAGATTAACAAGAAATAGCTTAACCTTTTCCTTAGCTTAATCTATCATTTAACAATTAGTGATCGTCAACATGCATCATTGTGTATTTTTTAGTTACCCAGTGGAAATTCACCAAGCGTCTTGTAATCATTAACTTAGTAATTGGCCGGGTTTTTTATGATGTACAAATACTTGCACAGGTTAGCAATAGCAAATTAGCTGATGAGTCTAGCAATAAAATAGTTTACCTTAATAATTTCATTCTTATTTCATGTACATAATGTCCGTCAAATACCTTTAATAATTGATCTTAATCCAATCAATATGCAAAACTTACCTTAATCCAATCTCTAATCACTAAGCAATATATCATATTATAACTTAGTCTATGATATTCAGGGTTGGATTTGGAGTTAGGGATGAATTTTGCATATTTGCCTGGCACCGAAGACAGAATTGTTACCCAAATTAGAGAAAACATCACTAGTCAGCGACGCAGACCTATTATCTGTTTATTTTTTGTCAATTTAACAAGTAATTTCAAGATATCCTAGGTCTTTGTTCAGGTATAAATTTTATTTCCATTT